GAAACCAAAGTTGGTTCATGCTCAGATGGCTGATTTGCCTAGAGCTAGAGTTCACGAAGCACCAGCTTGCTCTCGAACAGGTGTCGATTTCTTTGGACCAATTCTCATCAAGGAGAAGAAAGATCGCACCCGATCCTTCCTCAAAACCTATGGTTGTGTATTAGTTTGTATGGTTTCTAAGGCCGTACATATCGAGCTTGGCACTGACCTTTCCACAAAAGGTATTTTATCAGCTTTTCGAAGGTTTGTCAGTCGTAGAGGGATTCCTGGACATGTCTACTCTGACAATGGTACAAATTTCGTTGGAGCGAACAGAGTACTGAGTGAACTTTATGATCTCATTTCCACCCCTGATTTCAAAGAGATAGTAGGAAACTACGCTTTGTCCAGGCGCATCGAGTGGCATTTTAATCCGTCACTGTCTTCCCATTTTGGAGGGATTTGGGAAGCGGCTGTAAAAAGTTTCAAACATCACCTGAAGGCATTTTGAAGGATCACAAGCTCACTTATGAGCAACTTAACACCTTTCTCATCGAAATCGAAGCGATCTTGAATTCGCGATCTTTATGTACTCTTTCAGCCAATCCCAATGATCCCTTAGCAATAACTCCAGCTCACCTGTTGATAGATAGACCATTCAACGCGCTGCCCGAAAAATCGTTTCTTTCAGTCCCAGATAATCGTTTGTCTACATACAATTTCATCACCAAGGCCAAACAAGATTTCTGGAATAAGTGGCAAAAGGAATATCTCCACGAACTACAGACTTGTCACAAGTGGCAGGACTCCACTGCTGAACTCAAACTGGGTTCAGCAGTCCTCCTCATGGATGATTTTGTCATCTGTGCACGATGGCCACTGGGAGTGATCGTCGAAGTTTTTCCCTGGGAGTGACGGCATCGTCCGAGTTGCATCGGTTAAGAAACGGTCTACAAACGCAACATCACTCGCCTATATCTCTTGCCTGTAACTTAGTTGCAGTCTAGCGTACCAAGGATTGTTAAAAATATGAATTCATTTAACCTGCTTCATAACATTCGATTGTAATACTATTTCGCAGCTTTCGCCGGGAGTATGTCACATCGTAACCCATGTGAAGGCTTGAAGCGGTGGCAGCATCTTACAAGCGCCGTTTTCGCTGGCTTGTGCGCGCGCCGACGCCTGCATATGGCGCCAGAGTAAAAAAATAGAGACTGAAGCGTGTGGAGAGCTAACAAAATCCGAAATTTACGAAGTCATCTTGACTTGAAACTTAATAAAATCAACAAAACAAACAGCTTAAATAACGAATAACAAATCTAGTTCACTAGTTAACAAGAATTCGAAGCAATGTGGCTGAAAATTCGCAACAAAGCAAACGAACGATCATGGGCATGAAATCACACGGTGTTGTATCCCCACGTGGCACAGAAGCCGTGCTTCCAAGGACGCAATTAACAAATTACGCCCAACAACCCCCAAATTAACCTAAGTAATCAAAGTGTAATCAAAAATACATTCTGTTGCATGTGTGCGTGTGAACCCATGTGTGACATCCCCATTCGCAGTGAATCCTTGAACTTAGTGTAATTACAATAATAAATCTGGGTTTTTCATGCCGAAAGGCTTTTTCCCATAAAACTGTGTTCTTTTTTTTTTCTTTTTGATAATTTAATGCCGCTATCAAACCACCTAGGGTATGATAGCCTTCAACGTCAATTCATTAGGATTTTCTGGGGTGATTCGGGCAGAGTAACCCTCTATCCAGGAGTGAAGCTCCTCATTTCTTGTCTTTGGGGTTTTTATATCCCTCTTGACGTTTGATTGACGTTTTTCTCCTCTACATTTCAAAAGTTGAAATGTCAATCAAATTTTGATAGATCTGTTCATCAAAGTTTGAGTGATTTCAAAATGGCGGCACAAAGTTACTAGGTCGGTAATGAAGTTACCGAGTCTGTGTTTACTTAAGATAACTTGTGACAACATTTTGAATTTATTTATGAGTCGGTAATTTTCTTTAACTTTTCGTGAACATTTACAAATTTAAAATTATCAATAAATCTCTTGAGGGTATGGATTTCAGCAGGAGGGAAAAGTGCAAAGCTTTCGCTAGGATCTGAGGAATGGGATTCTTTCTGTAGAATGGGATCTTCCATTGGGTTTTCATCCCAAAAATCAATGAAATCCTCGATGCCTTAAATCAATAATATCTCGGTTACAGAGCGCTGGTGGAAGGAATTGGTTTGACCCCTTTGCTCATTATGCTGTTGCTGATGTGTTCGACCGGTGGTTATTGCTCTGGGAATTGTTGCAAGTCCTCTGGCAGGATGTATGTAGGTTTTAAACGATCGATGGAGATCGGTGTATTTTTATAGTTTCCGAGTCCTCCTGACCCGAACCATACGATGAAATATTTATCGTGTCTGCTTACCACTCTGTACGGGCCTGTATATGGTGATCCGAATGTCATTTGGAGACTGTCCGTGCGCACAAACACGTGAGTGCACGTTGAAAGGTCTTTGTAGACGAACGTGTCTCGGGTTCCGTATCGTGACATCGGTACTGGCGCGACGTCCTGGAAGTGAGTTCTGAGCCTTTTTACCAGTTCTGTGGCTGTAATTCTGTCATTGGACGGGGTTAGAAAATTGCCAGGCACGCGGATCGATTCTCCATACGTCAGCTCTGCGAGGGTCGTTTGGATATCATCCTTCTAGGCGGTCCTCAGTCCGAGAAGTTACGCGGGTAATGCGTCGTAGCAGTCCTCGCCGTGGCAACGCAGTGCTGCCTTGAGCTGCCTGTGTAATCTTTCGGCTAGATCATTTGCTTGTGGATGGTAAGACGTTGTCATGATGGGTTTGAAGCCGAGCAGCTGTGTGAGTTGCTTGAAGGTCTCTGAATAAAATTGTGCTTCTTGGTCAGAAGTGATCCTCAGGGGGATTCCAAAACGCGCAATCCAGTGGTAGAGTAACGTATGAATGACAGTACCTTGGCTTGACTCAGCCAACGGTACAACCTCTGGATAGCGTGTGTATCTATCGACTATCATCAGACACCATTTGTGTCCTCTGGATTCTGGTAACGATATCAGGTCTATATGAATATATTCGAACCTTTGTGATGGGAGTTGGAGTTCGCTGATGAGTGTTGCAGAGTGTCGTGAAATCTTATTCCTTCGGCACACTATATAGTGCTTGGCCCACTCGATGCAGTCTTTGTTCATCGAGGGCCAAACGTAGTGTTGAGCGACAAGTCGGCGAGAAGCTCGGCGTCCAGGATGAGTGAGGGAGTGTAATGAGTCAAATATTCGCTTCCTCAGTGGCTCTGGGAAGTACGGGCGAACTATATCGGATTGTTCATCAAAGTACACTGTTGCATTGACTCCTGGGAATTTAATCCGTTTGAGTTTCAGTGCCAAGTCTGGCTGGCTGATGAGTTGTTGTAGTTCCTCGTCGATCTGCTGGGCTCGTTCGAGTTCCTCATCGGAAACAGTTGTAGCTATGGCGTCAACGCGGGACAGCATGTCGGCTACTACGTTGTCGTTACCGACCACGTGCCTGATGTCCGTAGAGAATTGTTCGATGAAGTCGAGACATCGACATTGAAACGCGTGTGTGAGGGGCTTGTGGTCCGTAAATATGGTGACGTGGCGACCTTCGAAGATGTGCCGAAAGTGTTTCACGGCCTCAAACACTTCGTGGAGTTCCCTGTCGTACGTCGAGTATTTCTGGGTAGAACGTGGGAGTTTACGACTGAAGAAAGACAAGGGTTGCCAGGAGCCTTGGTATTTTTACTGGAGGACGACTCCAATTGCATAGTCGGAGGCGTCGGTGAACACAGCCCACTCTGCTTCGTTGTTAGGGTGCAATAACAGGGTGGCCTCTGCAAGAGCTCGTTTGCACTGAGTGAAAGCTTCCTCGAGTGCTGGTGTCCAGTTAACTGGTTGGATGCCTTTGATAGCAGGGCCTTGTAGCTCTTCGTTGAATGGGGCGAGAATTTTCGCAGTTCTTTGGATGAATTTCCTGTAGAAGTTGATGGTTCCTTGGAATCTGCGGAGTCTCTTCACGGTTGTCGGTCTCGGAAATTCAATAATCGCGGCTACACGGTCTTGAGGTGGCTTGATTCCATAGCAATTAATCGTATGGCCAAGGAGGATGACTTCAGGTTTCCCCAGGTTCGATTTAGCAATGTTGACAATCAAGCCGTAGTTTTGCAGTCTGCTGAAGAGAGTCCTGAGATGGTCGCAGTGTTGTTTTTCATCTTTAGAAGTAACCAGGATATCGTCGATGTACGGAAATGCGAACGGAAGATCTCGTGTGACTTCATCGATAAGGCGTTGAAACGTTTGCGCCGCGTTTCTAAGCCCGAAGGTCATGAACGGGAACTCAAATAACCCAAACGGTGTGATGATGACCGTTTTTTTGATGTCCTGAGGCGCGACGGAGATCTTGTTGAACGTCTTCACAAGATCTATGATGGAATAAACAGTGGTACCATGTAGATTAGCAGCAAAATCATCGAGAGATCTTATAGGGTACTTATCCGGGATTGTGCGGTTGTTGAGCGCGCGGTAGTCTCCACAAGGTCTCCATTTGCCGTTTTTCTTGGGAGCGAGATAAAGTGGCGATTCCGCTTATCAGGAGCGAGGCGTCGCGCTCTGCATGAAACTGGTGGTCCCGGCGTCGTTCGAATGTGGTGGAGAGTCATGTGTTCTGCAACTTTGAGTGTACCATCGGGCTTGGTGATGGTTGGAAATTCCTGGAGGATTTGCATCCAAGGCTTATTACCCGGTATCTGGAGCGATTTTACTGAAGTTGCGTCGTAGTTGGCACGTCTGCCGTTTGATGCGAGTTCGGTCGTTTCATCAATGACGCGTTGATGCTTCAAATCGACGAGTAGACCGAAATGACTGAGAAAATCAGCTCCAATAATTGGACGTGAGACGTCTGCCTCGAGGAAGCGCTAGGCCAGATCCCTTCTTAGCCCGAGGTCAAGTAAGAGGATTACGTGACCGTACGTGTCGATCACTGAACCGTTTGCAGCAAAGAGTTGGTATCCCGTAGATCTTTTTGATGGTATCTGCTGCCTGCGGGGGAAGACTGATATGTCTGATCCCGTATCCACGAGGAATTGCAACCAGGTGCACAGTTGCGGGCTTTCTTACCAAACTTGCTGTTATACCAGGATATCCCTGTAGTTTTGTTGAGCTTACTGGTACTGCGTGAACGATTGCGTGATCGTGTTGATGCTGGTCTGGCGTCGCGACGAGAGACGTGAGCCGTTAAACTGGCAACTTCCTTGGTGAGTTCAGCATTTTGCTGTTCCAGGTTGGAGACTGCTGAGACTCTCACTGGCTGGAGCACCTCATAGAGCCGATCGGCTGCTTCAGCGAGCTCCTTAATTGATGCGGTCTTCTGCGTGACGCGACAGGCTTGAGTCGTTTGAGAGAGATGAGAGAGCCAGCGAGCTTTCAGTACCTCCTCATCGATGTCTGGTACCAAGCTTTTGAGGTGACGAAAAAGTTCGGTCAGTTTACGATCACCGAGTTTCTCGCCATCGAGTAGCTGGAGCAGGTTTGCCTGTTTCGACTGTGTGAAACGTTCGATGAGTTTGTTTTTGAGTTGCTGGTAGGGAGTGTCCATAGATGGATTAATAATTAGATCCTGCACACGCGCTGCTGAGCGTGTGTCGATGAGTGAAATTGCGTAGTGGAATTTGTCGATCTCTTTAACAATCCTTTAGTTGCAAAACTGCGACTCTAACTGGGCAAACCAGAGAGCGGGTTTTTCTTCACTGAATTTAGTTGTTTTAACATCGACGATTTGAGTCATCTGCATTGCAGGGGTTTGCGAAAAGGAAGGATCTTCCTTAGGTGGCATTTTCCTCAGGTGAGGAAATCTACGTCACAACACCATACAAGAAATAAAGGCGTTATTAGTCTTTATTGTTTTGCTAGCATAGCGCAGCGTCTATGCGCACTCAGGAATGTGCCAGCAAATATCGATTTAACTCGCGGTCAGTGTCTAACACACGATGAAAATTAAACGAAATTGTATTGCTTTTGTCACTCTCACTTGACGAGAATCGGATAGCACTGGGCGTGTTTGTTTTTGTCTTTTTCAAGGTGAAGACCGAGGTGAACAATGTTCTTGAACACTTGAGTTTCACGAAAATTTGATAGGAATATGCACAACGCTAGCTATCGCAATAGTTGATCACGTGAGAGCATGATTTAAATGTTTAGATGCACTGCACACGCGGGGTGTGATAGTTAATGCATGAAACTTGTTGAATTTGAACGTTGAGACGACGCGATTTCAAAATGAGGCACGTGTCCGTTGAACGCTCGAAATTCGCTATCACTTGGTTTTCCTTTTTTTGCACTCCATTACGCGTGATCACGTCGGGGTCACCAATGTAGTGATCGAGTTTTAGAATAATTGATTCAACCACTAACACGTATTTAATAAAATACTTAATTATATTTATACATAATCGCGTAATATTAAGAGTTCATATCAAATATATATATTGATAGAAGAAAACCGAAGCGCGGTTTGAGACTAGCTGAACTTGCGGTCAGTGTGGATTAACTCGTCAACCGAAAAGGTGACAGAATAATATGTGCGAGAGAGAGAGCAAATAATAATTCGAGAGAGATAGCACTAGTATTCAATCGTACGTTCCGGCGCTCGAAAGGGGGGCCCCCTTTCGCAGTTTATATCGAGAATTCACTACACCCCCCTCCCCCTCCCGCAGGCGACTAATTTCATGGGTGAGTTTTTCAAGGATATTTTCAAAACTAAGGAAGATGGCGAATTTTTACTGCAAATTTGAGGGGAGGGCACGGGGTGAGAGAAAAGTTGTATTGAATTCTGTATGTATAACACCCCCCCCGGTATCCGCCCCAAATTCCTTTGGAAAAAATATTTCGGAAAAAATTCTTTGGAAAAAATTCCTTCAGAACTAATTATTTTGGAAAAAATTACTTGGCATATAATTACTTCGGAAAAAATGATTTGAGAAAAAAAACTATGGAAATATTTTTTTTTACATTGGTTAAATATTTTTTTAGTTAACTATGGGATTTTTGGAGAGATTATGCTGTCCAAAACAAGTTTATACCATGGTTCTGGAAAAGAATTATTGCATCAGGCATTTTTACAGGAGGAAATATTGCATGAAAAAATTATTTCCGAAGGATTTTTTTCCGGAGGAATTTTTTTTGAAAAAGTTTTTTCCCAAATATTTTTTCCTAAAGAATTTTGTGCGGGAACCCCCCACCCCCTCCCAATAATTTTTCAGCAAAATTTCGCCATCTCCCTTTGTATAAAATGTGGATAATTTTGAAAATTCCCAAGATGGCGACGGAGAGCAAAGTGCAGAACTAATTTAGCTTTATAATGTAATAAAAAAAGCCACAGTACATTAGGCACTGAGCGGAGTCAATTTAATAATATTAAACTACTAGGGGGCTTCGCTCCCTGCTCGCTCCCCTTGCCAACCCGCTCGCTTCGCTCGCTCCCCTCTCCAACCGTGTGACCGCAGCGGTGTGACCGTACTCATAAATATCTTCCATATGAGCCCCCCCTCATATAGACATCACTTATAAATACAGGCACCTCCCATATAGGAACCCCCGTATAGGCTTCCAGCGTCCCCTGAATTTAAGAGGCCCCTGAATTTGAGCGTCCCCTGAATTTTTCGCCTTATTTTTTTATTTATATATATTTATATATTTATATAGAGAAATAGAGAAATAATACACTGTACACTTGATTTTTGTTTAGATGATTTATGCGATAAATAATTGAAAGTTTATTGAGTTTATTGGATGAACTGATTCGGTAGTATAATTGTTGAATTCCGATATGATTGATAAATGAATTGGTGATTTGCAAGATAGGTTATGATAACTCGAGGTGAGTTAACACGCGATATGATGTACTCGGAGCACTGAAATATACTATATACTGGAAAGGGCACTGAGCCGCTCGATGCGAGCCGAGAGAGACGGTCGATTTTGGGGGCCACCTGTCTCTGTCGTACCGTCTGCTCTAAAAGTATTCTCTTATCTTGGACAACGTATAGAATTTTGCATTGGCATTCAGTTCTTTTTGGTTGCATATGTCATTTTTGTTAAAACTCAAACTCATAACATATGACAGTTGAAAGCTTTATTCTTTGCCAATGTATACTAATACATGGGGTATTTACAATTCTATTACGAGTAAATGGACATGGAAAAAATACATAAGAATATACAATTCAATAGATTCTTTATTCAATTAATCTGACGGGAAATCGAAATGCTCTGAGTCAGTACCGTCCTCAGTATTCTGCATTTCAAATTTCGGTATGTACAATATAATTCCTGAAACAGAAAGTTGATATTCGAATGATATAAACTTTTATTTCAAGAGGAATCAATTCCTCAAATTCAAGAACATGCTTCGAGTTTCTGTTTTCTATTTGATCTTTCCAATACTGTGATGAAGAAGTAGAACGTCCCAATATTTATTTATCCTTCTAGCATCAAAACAATCTTTAACACATCAATTCACTGCGCGTAACTCAACCTAAGCTTCTCAACTTGTTTGTACCGTGTGTCGTTTGGGACGTTATGCGCATGCGCACCATCGAGTGAGTAAGAGAGGTGGCCCGCAAAATCTACTCCTCTCTGTCTCGTTTTCCATTTACGAGTCTGGCATTGCAGTGCTTTTTCCAGTATACTTCAGTAACTCGGTGTTAGATACGTTCGATGACTAAATGGCCGTCGAGTAGTTTCTAGACACTTCGACGGCATTAAACCAAATTTTAGGGAGGATTTTGAATACTCTTAGTTTCGGAGGTATCCTTGAAAAACTCACCGACGAACTAAGTCGTCTACGGGAGGAGGGGCTTGTACAGAATTTTCGATTTACACACCCCCCTCCCTTAAATAGACCCCCTACAAAAAAGCCCCCCCCCCCAATAATAACCCATCCTTTTACAAATCAACTCTCTTTACAAAACCTCCCTCTTTGTCAAACCCCTCTCTCTACCACCCCCCCTCCCGATTATGTGACTTCCCATATATATCCGCCCTTTTACGTCCTGCCCCACATCTAGAGCCCCTTATGTCAAACCCTCTCCCCATTGATAAAACCACCATTCAATCAAATCCCCCGTACACTGAAAAAAAAAATTTCTAATATCTGAGACATATTTTCTTGACAGAAGTAAATTATTTTCAATGGCTTAAATCTCAGAATGTGTGCACTTCACGGAACTCGAATACATTTTCATTCATCACTATCGTTCCGCGTTACGTCATGAATATTGCAATATTGGAAGTGCATAACGAAAAAATCATAAAAACAATAAAGACTAGAAGATTGACGATTCTTCTACGCCATTTAAGTAAGTTCATTTGCGACAAAATCCTACTTGAGTACAAGAATATTTTAAAGCATGAGGCCTTTCTCGGGTCATGTAAGTTGAGATGCCTGAGAGAATTAAGCAATTGAAGAAAATTTACTTGTCTCAAGAAAATATGTTTCAGACATTAGAAAACTTTTTTCTCAGTGTATATGAGACCTCCCCCAGATATCACTACCCCTATGTATAATCCCCCCATACATGAAACCCCCTTTTTGTAAAGTTCCCCCTCAAAATTTGAAAAAAATTTCTAGATTTTAGAAAACTGAAGGTTAGAAACCATGGTTTAGAAAATTTAGAAACTTTCTTCTAAAGCTAATCCACGTTTTTTCTCTGTGAACAATCAACTGGATAATCAAATACTTATATTTTTGAAGATTTAGCAGGGTGGCCTTTGGATGACAATCAATAACACGGATTTAATTAATGTAACACTTGAGTTTATTTAGAACACATATTGTTGTAACCGGTCTAGAGGCCGAAGTCAAAAAAAGGTTAGGTTACAATTGTACCCTAGTGATAAATGATTCAGTAGGTAAAGTAGAAATTAGCGCGGCCTATTCAATACTTCCACTTAATTTTTACTTTACATTTGTTCTCCTTTATTTTCTAGTTCGATTAAATATTTTTCAATTTTGTAATTCCAATCAACTCCCTGAGTCTTTCAAATCTGATTTTTGGAAGTGCTTTTGTAAAGATATCTGCCTCTTGATTCTCAGTTTTAATATAGTCTACAGTGAACTCGTTTCTGTTGAACTTCTCACATACATATTTGTATTTTATATCGATGTGTTTGCCTTTTGAATGAAATAGACCATTTTTAATAGACTGAATGGCACTTTGATTATCTACATGTAAGTGAGGTGGCTTTACTTTGCCATTTAACAATTCTTTTACCAGATTCTGAGCCCAAAACGTTTTAACCATTGTGCAGTTTGCTGCAAGAAACTCTGATTCAGTTATGGATTGTGCCACTGTGCTCTGTTTGCGAGATCCCCATACGACTGGGAACATACTCAGATTCTGGTGGGTGTCAGCTGGGATACTGACTGGGTGGGCTTGCCCCATATTGAATCGAACCAGAATCTTTCGCGTGTAGGCTGACTAATGGATGAAGAGGGAACCATCATCAAGGTGCTCAATTTGGACACTTAGAAAGAGACTGAGTGGATTAGTTTTTATTTCTAATTCACTCTCCAGATAGAGTAGAAGCTCTCAAAAT